CACACACACACACACACACACACACACACACACACACACACACACACACTTTTTCATCTTTCTAGGCATGTGGATGATGATGCCCGGGGAAAAAGAGGTGGAAACAGTGCCGAGCCATCTCAACATACATACATTTCGTCGTCTTGGTTCATGCGGTGCGTGCGCGCACATCCAATATGAATTACTGAAGTGTTTGTGTTTGTGTTTATGTGGGTCTATTATTATTAGCATTATCATGGTGGATGGTATGAACAACTAAAAAAATGAAGAAAAACATAATCACAAAACAACAAAAAAGGACCGAGAGAGACAAAGAAAGAAAATTAAATCTTATGCAATCGGTATATATCATGGATTTCTAAGGTACGAAGTCATATTTTTGTACCATTTTCACTTCAGACAGCGAACTGATCGACAGCACGTACATCGTTACGCCAACTTCAACTGGGGGTCCTGAAATACGGATTATATTCGTTTTGTCATGTGTTCTTTGGTTTTTTTTGTTTGTGTTTTTTTTTTTTTGCTTTTAATTTCGTCTAGCTAATAAAACAGATTGTTAAAAAAAACACGAATCTCCCACATTTTGGCCATAGTTATCACAATTATTTTACATATATCTACCAATCAATTTGTATCTACTTTTTGATTTAAAAAAAATGAGAAAAAACAGAATTTACTTAAATATATGTTGTATTTTGGAACGTGTGTTATGTCCAAAAAAAGGATTTCATTCGTCTTCATTTTTTTTGTGTGTAATTTAAATTTGAATTCACTGGCATGGGTCGTATCTGTTTTTTTGTTTATGGTTCAGAATTTGGTAATAATGCATCAAAATGGCATTTTTTGTGTGTTTGTGCATTTAATGCTGTTTTTCTTTCGGTCAGCATGCACGAGATTCAATTTTTTTTTTTTCGTTGGTCTATTGATCGAATAATTTCATAATCTTGATGTTTTCAATCAAAAACAATCTTCATTTCATTTGTGACGTCTCATTGAATCATCTTCCTACATTTTGTCGGAAAAATGGTTCAATGTTCAGTAAATATCTGTGCCCCCACCCCATGCCAAGGGCGGCAGCGGCGGCGGAGGCATGGTTTTCTTCTATTCAATCATACAAAACAAATGAAAACAAACGAACAAAAAAAAATAATTAAAGTCACGAAAATGAAAAAAAGCAAAGTCTGTCCTTTTTTTCCTTCGAGTTGTAAACAAACAGATAACAAAAGCGATAGGAAGAATTTTTTTCATTTATCGATTCTCAAATGAAACTGATACTTCAGTTTTGTTTCTTTTTTTTTTAGAAAAGTTGATTTAATTTAGAAAATTTATTCGAATGGAAAAGAATTAATTGAATGCAAATAATAACTGAAAACAAATCAAATTCACATTGCGTTATGACATGGGATTTTTAATTGATTAGCGGAAGATATTTTCGTAGTAAGCATAAATCATCATTGAAGGGCCGAGAGATGAGGCCGTCGCCACCGTCACAGAAACGATTGAATTTTGTTTAGTCAATAGTTTAATGTTAAAAAAAAAGTTTATACTGAAATGCAATTGAGTTTTCGAAAATGAATTTCCAATGTCTAATCAACGAACCGTTACCGAGAGAGTGGGAGCTCACATTCCCGACTGGCCCAAACTCTCTGCCCGCCAATATTTACGTTTGCATTGTGAATTTGAATTGCATTCAGCGTATTTATCGCTCTTATATACATATATACATAGACGTAAAACCAAAAAAAAAACCAACAAGATAGAAAGAGACGAAGATCAAAAAAAGTCAAATCAAAATACGTTAGCTTTTGTTCTTCCCGCACATATGCTGATAAAACTATCTGAGTGAATTAAGTGAATTGATGTTTGGAAAAGAAGAAGAATAACAAACATAGAGAGGAAAATGGAACGTATGTTCCTTTGCATAGGCCAATCCAACGCGCCACACACTCACACACATGTGCGAGTGTGTGTGTGCGAGCGCTTCACATTAATCCACTCAAGTTCAATGTTTATACTATTGCCTTTTACAGGCAGCAAACCATAAACAAATAAAAAAAGTTTTTCTTTTTCGAAAACAAAAATTTGTGAATAATTAATTAAAGATGATATTATTATCTGGTCCAAATTTTGTATGTGCTACTATAGCTGTCTAAAATTGGGATCGGGATGAAGAAAGATAAAAATAACAATTTGCTGGAGTTTTTTATTTTCTTTTTTTTATCGTTCAAAGTTGGTCAAACATTCAAATTGAAGATTGATGAGGATAACAACGGAAAAAAATCATCAGAGTATGTCTGTGTGATATTTTCTTTTAAATATTGATAGATTGATTAGAGTTGTGCGTGGAGGCGGCGGAATGAACGCCTAATTTCGGTCTTTCTTCATCTTTTGTGTCCCATAAAATCAATTAATTTCTTTCTTTTTTTTTTGTCGTACGCATGAACGCCCTATATGCAGCTCAATTGATCGTTTTAAAATTCATGAAATAGTGTCACTCCAGAAAAACATCCCGTTTCGGTTTGGTTCCTTCCGTGAATCCTTCAAAACCTTCAACATTATCTTTGAAATAAGTTTTTGTTTCATGTAATGCGGTCGATTTTCAATGTGGGCATCAAACCCAATCGTATGTTTGATTTTAATTTTCCAGTCTGGCCATTCGATACTCGTAATGTCAGTTGAAAAAACTACAATTGTGTCCAAATTCAGAAATCAATTGAAAGAAAACATCCGAAAATGCATTTAATATCAGTAGTGGGGAATGTTTTGGTTTGTTCTTTGTCGTTGTGTTCGGAAGTGACACCATTCCAATGAATACGAGAATTGTGCAAATCAACTTGACTCGATTAAGAATGATTTCCAAAGGTATTTAGAATAATTTCTCTTTTTTTCATGAATCAGCATTTCTATTCGGATTTTGGAAAATGAAAACATAAGCCGAAAAAAACTCGATTTGAATCATAAATTCTAGAATATGAAAAACTTCTGAATCGAATTTGTTTTTTTTTTTTTGAATAAAATGCCCTTATCGATGTTATTTATAAAACTGGAAAATTGAAAAACGAAAATGAAAGAAAAAGTCCAAAAAACTCGTAAATGCAAAGTAATTTTGTCGCAAATAAGAATGTTTTGTTTTGTATATATATGTATATAGATAGAATTTTTTTTTTGTTTTGATTTGGCTTTGGTTTTGTTTTGATTCGATTTTGCTTAGAAAATGTTTGTACAATTTCAAACGGATTATGCTTTTCAAATGAGTTATTAGTATTGATTTCTTGGTTTGATTTTCTTGAAGAAAAAAATTTAGAGGAAATTAATAACATCGTTTGAAATTCATTTAGACTGTTTTTAGTTTCAGATATAATTCCAGGTTTTTTTTTATTTATTTGTGTATAAGATAAAGTCTTCGATAGATTCTTACCTCCGTAATTTGGTCTTACTCTCTTATCGTAACTAACACTAAATGAATCCAAGATTTCCGATATGTTGACGTCGCCCAACATGCTGCCACCGGCCGTACTGTACATAAAAGAAAAATAGAGATGCAAAAATAAATGGAATTAATGAGCTGCCTGTGGTCAATATTTTGGGAGATAATGTGAATTTATTGAAAATATGATACGATAATAAATGTGTTCAAATCATGACAGTCGAATTGTTTTCAAATATTTGAGAATTCAAATACTAATTTAAATTTCAGATGTGTCATTCTACTCAATATAACTTGGACGCTCAATTCAATCAATGCTTCATCCATAAATATGAATAAGATCGGGGGAGAAAAAGAGAGAGAAAAGGATAGCATGAAAGAGATAGAACGAGACATAAGAATATTGCACAAGACAAGTTAACCACAAATGAATGGGCAAGCGGAATAATGAAACGTAATTCTGTTTTTAAATGAAGTGCCTCTGAGAAAAATTTTCAGTAAAAAAGCCCCACAAAAATATTGTCTGAATAAGATTTTCATACAAATTTTTATCAGACAATATTTTTGTGGGGCTTTTTTACTGAAAAATTTTCTCAGAGGCACTTCATTTGAAAACAGAATTACGTTTCATTATTCCGCTTGCCCATTCAAATAATCAACTTGCATGAAAAAATGTCGTTGAAAATACAAGTACAGTGCATTATATACAATCACTTGTTGATTTTGTGATATATTAATTTAGAAAGCAACCAAATGACCTCACTTCCAAAGCATTGCATAAACAGTAGCAGTAGCATCATATGTGCGATAGGATCGGGGAATATGGGAAGATTGAGTGCGCGCGAGAGAGAGAGAGGGGGGAGAGAAAGAGCGAATGAAATAGCTTTCAAGCAAACATTCGATTTGAATTTGTATAGTTGCACACCCAAATTAATTTGGTTTAATGAATTAAATAAGCATTTGAGTGTGAAATTGGAATTGGAATTGTATGTGATCAAGAGGAATGGCCAAGCTAAAATATGCGAATATGGAGACGAGAGAGAGGAAGATAGGGAATACATTAAACATTTTTGCACCGCAGTTTATGATATACATGATGCAATTGAATGATAAATCATAACATTTCTGCCTCACACCTCTTCGCATATACACACACAAACTAAGAGAGGTGTATCATCTGCACCCCAATGATACCATTTGTTTGATTTGCGTTCCAATTATTTATAAGCAAAAGCATAGCAAAGCATAAGCTTAACGCACTCCATTTATCATACAGCGAGTCTATGAATAATTTGAGAGATTGAAATCGATTGAAAGTTTTGATTGAAAGTGCCTCGAAGGCGAAAATTACGTTCAATGCAGCGAAATGATTGAATTTTTGGAACACGATAAAAGCGTCCAATGCTAAAAATAAAGTCATGCAAAGCAATGGATATTTTGGTATCACGAAGTGCGCGCGCGACAAAATGCTTTCATTTTCGATTATAATCGGAATTTTAAACACAAAACGTCACGCATTCAACCGAGCTTTTAATCAGAACGGAAGAAAGCGTATACACATATGTATGCATAGCATAGAGAAAAAAAAGAACGGAAATCAAACTCACTCCCTCTCTCTCTCTCTCTCTCTCTTTCGCACAGCCCGCCGAATAGAAGTTTCACTGTGTGTATAGCGTGATTAAGTCACTTCATTACTCTCCACTCCACGGTACCACGGTATATGACTATTAATTGAACAATACCGAAAATGAAATTTTCGATCCAGCAATACACACACACACATACACTCGAACCGAGCCACTCAATTTCCATGCATAGGACGAGACTGAGTGAGAGATATGATGGAAAAGAGATAGAGAGTGCATAGCATTCACTTGCACAGAATTAACCAGAAAAGGTGTAAATGAACAATTTCCCGCATTAGCCTTTGGCATCGCTTTCGTTGTTCAGTCCCGCAACTTGTGTGTTTGTGTGTGTGTGTGTGTATGTGTATCATTAGAGATTACAAACACAGAGAGAAAAAACAACAAGTTTACATCACAAAATGTAAATTGTTCACATTTTGAGAATTGTTTGGCGCATATATACCTTCGATACAATATCATTTTCAGCTTCTCGGCTATACTATACATATATATCAGGCACATTGTTATTTATTCAAATAATTTTCCCTAAAAATTTAAATGGCTTCCATTGTCCTGGTTTCGGGGCGTACACTGAGAAAAGGCTGGAAGAAAGGAAATATTCCAACCCTGCGTTGTAAATGTTGTCATTGCAGACGATTTTGTGAATTGTCTAACCATGGTTGGAATTTGTCAAGTGCGAAAATGCTATCAATATTCCAACCATGGTTGGACAATTCACAAAATCATCTGCAATGACAACATTTACAACGCAGGGTTGGAATATTTCCTTCCAGCCTTTTCTCAGTGTAGATTAATAAACGACCAAAAAAAAAACAATAACAGAAATTGTTCGACCATATATATATACTTGTATTCACATGCCACAAAACATAAAAACATAAAAACGAGAGAACATACATGGGACAAAAATACAATATCACTATAATTTGAAAGTGACGCGATGAATTTGAAAATTAAACCAGCAATTGTTCATTATTTTAATTCGATGATATTGAGCACAATGAAACAGAAAAAAAAGCGAATGAAATGAGGCTTTGAATCGTTTTTGGCATATGTATGATTACCAGTAATTCACACTCGAAGTCACACGATACAAGTCCAAAAGTTCATGAGATAGAATTGAGAGTGGTCATATCGATTCCCACGAAGAGAAAACCAATCCACACCTTCAGAAGCCATCGGTTTTGAATTTTAAACAAAACCCATCGGTAATTTTTCAAAGTTTTCCCATTTAGGTGGACAGAATCAAGCACACTTCTTTCGCTCTTTTTCTACAAACTCCAGTAAAAATTGCGGGTCCAATGGAAATTTGGTTACAATCACAGGATTATAAATCATTGGGAAATGCCTTTCAATAGTGGTGAATTCAAAGTGATTCTCTTACGTAATCGAATTGATTAAAAAAAACCATGGAATTTGTCCTACTGGTAAATGGGAGGATAATAACCAATTATCTGTGCCTAAGTTTCATGCTATAATCAGAACAAAACACACTGAAATATGACACAAATGTGTTCGATATCTCATTCCAAAACGATTCAAACGATGGAAGGCAACGGCAACAACAGAAACAGCAACAAAAACCAACAGCCGATGAATATAAGCTTAGTTCCGCAGTGCAAACAAGTATTATCTGCCCTTTTCTCTCTCTCTCTCTCTCTCTCTCTCTCTCTCTGTCTCGCTCTCTCTCATTTCCTATCTCCTATACAACACACAGAGACACACATACAATACAACATGTGGAAAAAATGACATGGCTTTTTAGTTGAAAACTTATATCGCTCCAACTGCGTTCACACTGATGACACTTAATGGCACCAACTGCATCCAGTTTCATAATGCCATGCCATGCCATAGAACAGCTCGTGCACAACAAACGATACGAGACATTTTAAAGTTATTTTATCCATCCGGAATAGGGCGGAATCGAAAATGTATGTGTATAGTTTTTTTTTTTTGGTTTTAATTGTTCTGAATGTAAGTGATCTTCATTGATTAAGTGAGAAAGTAGGTGCAGCGTAATGAGATCGCTTAATTGGTTTTAGTGGCACATGGATTTTTGTTTGGCAAATGCCGAGAATGAGTGCGTTAATCCAATTTAGATTTGGTATGTCGTGTACAACAAGTTTGTTTGATGAGCATTCTTTTGTCAATGTGTGTCGCCAAGATGAAATTTGAGAAATATCTGAGGAATCCGTACATAAAAAAATGCGCGTTCCCATAAATAAATGTTGCTTTTGAAGAGAGCTAGAGAAAGAAAGAGAAATAAACAGACGATTCAGCGCACTGATGACATGTCACAACGGAAGAGACACCAAATGAAATGCGCCCAAACATTACTTTACATCCATTTTGCACGATTTCACATATTTCGTTTTGGTACGTGCAGTTGTAAAGTCACTTATCGCTACTATGATTTCTCGTTCCGTTCATTCGTATGCTTGACGGTATCGTTGCTGCCATTGCTTCTGCTACCATACTGTGGATACGATTGTGGATTATGTGTGTGCTAAGTATATCACAGACCCTGGCAACTTTTTACTTTTGTGCGTTTCTTTTTCGCTTTCTTTCGTTTTCTCTCTTTCTTCTTTTTCGTCTTCGTCGTCGTCGTCGTCGCCTCATCTCGACGTATTTATTTTGAAAACGTGCGTATGGGAGAGGTTTGTGTGCGCGCATAAAATGTGTTTGTTCTTCAAATCCTTATATTTGGCTATGTAAATAGCAGAAGGAGAGAGAGAGAGAGAGCGCTCGAGCTGCTGCTGCTAGTTTGCGACAACAAGAAGCGGAAAATCTCACATAACAAATCAAATATTGTCAATTTGGCGGAAAGAAAGCTGTGTGTGAATGGAATAGATTCAACTTTAATCCGGTTATAGAAATTGGTAAAGGGATTGACAAACACACATACATACGATGGCAATTCAAATTGTACAACATGCACAGGATAGAAACAGAGGAGTATAGCGCACGCGAGAGAAAAAGAGCAAAAAGCCCATGAATGTTGAATATGAGCCATTCGATATATATATACACACACACACACACAAGATTTTGGGCAACATCTTTTTCGAGTTGAATAAATTGCCGTTGCTACTGCTCGTGCTGCTGCTAACGTCGCCGATCCATTCGTATCCAGCAACACAATATGTAAAAATGTATATGTTTAACTTTGATTTGCTTGAAATTAAATGCTAAAAATATGCTTATTCATCAACTGAAAAAGAAACAGTTTTTCATTTTCCAGTCCACTGCGAAACAGTCAGTCAAACATTCAAAATGGGGAGAACAAAAGAGCGAACGATATAGGGATAGAGAGAGGGAGAGACAAACACAGATGATTTTATAGCGTGTAATCATTGAATGTGTGTAATGCAAAAATGAGATTGATCTGAATGCGTGCTGAGCAACATTCATAAGCTTTTGGCTCAATTTTGTTTTTGCTG